TTAGTTGCAGTTGGACATAATACCTTTATTTTACTGATTTATATGCAGTGCTGAGGATCGAACCAAGGACACCACCCCGCTAGGCAAGCGCTCTACTGCCGAGCACAACCCGAGCTCCCTGGCAAAATTTTTAAATTGTGCATTTTACTGTTCTCTTTTAAGGGAACAATGAACAATGTTCCCTTAAATGAACAAGAGATCAGTCAGAACTAAGCATTTCATCCTAAAAAAAAAAAATGTATTTCATGCTTTAAAGTCTAACTTCATTTAATTTTAGCTGCATGTCTTCAAGTCTTAACTCTGACTTTATAAAGGAACCTGAAAAACTGGGTACAGTGTGCATACCTGCAATCCCAGGGCTCAGGAGGTGGAGGCAGGAAGGACTGCAAGTTCAAAGCCAACCTCAGACACTTTGTGAGGCCCTATGGTAGGTCTGGATCTCCTATGGGAGTAAAGAAGGCCCCCTGCTGTTTGCCCCAAATTTCTAGCTCAGCTGGCTGAATGTTCCTACTCAGAGAACAGCAGCTTACATGACCGCACCCCACTGGATGGTATAACAATTTTACAAAGCAGACTTTTTAAAAAATCAAGGATAACTTAAACTTGTAAATTAAAATTAATAAATAAAATGGGGGGGGGGGGGGGGGGATGTGGCTCAAGTGGTAGCGTGCTCGCCTGGCATGCGTGCGGCCCGGGTTCGATCGTCAGCACCACATACAAACAAAGATGTTGTGTCCGCCGAAAACTAAAAAATAAATAATAAAATTCTCTCTCTCTCTCTCTCTTTCTAAAATAAAATAAAATGGGGTGTGTGTGCCTACAAGTTTAAAAGAGAGAGAAGGAGGGCTGGGGATGTGGCTCAAGCGGTAGCGCGCTCACCTGGCATGCGTGCGGCCCGGGTTCGATCCTCAGCACCACATACAAACAAAGATGTTGTGTCCGCCGAAAACTAAAAAATAAATATTAAAGTTCTCTCTCTCTCACTCTCTCTTAAAAAAAAAAAGAGGGAAGAATGTGTTGAAATAAACAGGGAAGAGAGGCTTGGTGCAAGGTGTAGTAGCTTTTTATTAATCACTTTTTAAATTTGTTCTAATTAGTTATAGATGACAGTAGAATGGGTTTTTTTTTTAAGGACTGAACCCAGGAATGCTCCACCATTGTGCAACATCCCCAGCCCTTTAAAAAAAAAAAAACTTTTAGTTGTAAATGGACACAATAACATTATTTATTTTTACTTAGTGCTGAGGATCGAACCCAGTGCCTCATACATGCTAGGCGAGTAAGTGCTCTACCATTGAGCAACAACCTCAGCCCATCCCCAGCCCATTTTATTTTTTGTTGTTTTGAGACAGGGTCTCTATAAATTGCTGAGGCTGGCCTTGAACTTAACACCCTTCAGGCGTGTGCCACCATGCCCAGCTTCTGGTCCATGTATTTTATAGGTGCAATTTTTTATACCTTTATTTATTTATTTATTTATATGTGGTGCTAAGAATCAAACCCCATGCCTCATACATGCTAGGCTAGCACTCTACCACTGAGCTAAAATTGAAGCCCCTGGCCCATGTATTTTGACAGCAATCCAATATGAGGTGTCTGAGGGACACCACAAACATTAAGAAGGCAGCACTGGAGCTTCCAGCTGACCAAGCAGATGTCAGACAAAGACAGTTACAGAGTCCAGTTGTTTACAGTGAACAGCTATTTCCTCTCCTCACCAAGAATAATCTCGAGGCAAAGAATAGGCCCACATTCATTTTTCGACTGAGAACAAATTTTAAGGTCATGATTCCCTGACAAAGGCAGAATTTCACAGCACATGCAGTCAGCATTCAAAAGCCTCAATAAATTCTTTTCCTTCACATGAAGGACTTTAAAAGCAACCAAGGATGGCACACAGAGCTTCCTAAAGATAAGCTGAGGGATAAGAGCTACTGGCATTTCAGATGAGCAATCATCACACCCAGTCAGTTTCAAGTTTTCTGGGTTGGTCCTCGAATAACTCTTTCTGAGTTTTAGGGTAGGTGTTTCACCTGTGGCTCTTCTGCAGGTCAGTGTCATTCATTCATATATATATATATAAATAGTTTTTACGGGGCTGGGGATGTGGCTCAAGCGGTAGCGCGCTCGCCTGGCATGCGTGCGGCCCGGGTTCGATCCTCAGCACCACATACAGACAAAGATGTTGTGTCCGCCAAATACTAAAAAGTAAATATTAAAAATAATAATAATAATAATTTTTAGTTGTAGACAGACATAATATCTTTATTTTATTTATTTACATATGGTGCTGAGGATCAAACCCAGTGCCTCATTCATGCCAGACAAGTACTCTACCACCGGGCCACAACTCCAGTCCCATTCTTTTTTTTTTTTTAAATTTTTTAATACTTATTTTTTAGTTTTCGGCGGACACAACATCTTTGTTTGTATGTGGTGCTGAGGATCGAACCGGGCCGCACGCATGCCAGGCGAGCGCGCTACCACTTGAGCCACATCCCCAGCCCCTCCAGCCCCATTCTTGTCCTTACATTAAGTGAGTGTGGTGGGAAGCAATAGCTGTTTGGAAGATAAAGTGTAACTCTAACTCAATGACTTCTGATCATCCCTACAAGGTCAGAGGCCCTCAGCTTTGATTTACCTCTTTACCACTTTTTAAAAAATAACTTTCATTAAAAAGAAGTAAAGTACATGGCCGCACGTATATACATTTCCCACATCCAGGGGTTGTCAACACACAGCCAGCACACTACTCCTGTACACTCCATCTCTTGATGATTCTAACATCTGTTTCATTTTTGAGGAAACTCACTTCGATTCTCAGCATCGCTTCCTAGTTGTTGGTTAGGAGACTGCTCCTTCTTTTCTTTTGCTTGCTTCTTTTTTTTTTTGTGAGGCATTCTGAAAGCCTATCCATGAAGAATTTTACAAATGAAAATGGGAACAAAATATACCAAGTCTGTAGGTTTTACATAAACCAATTCTGAGTGAGACATACAGAAGACTCAAAAACACCTGTGCAGACTATAGCTCATCTATTTCTTCTTTCTAGCCCCTCTTTTCAATGGCCAACACTTTATGTCATATTCTTAGGACTTCTCACTAGAATTTCTAAAGCCCTCTCAAATCTTCCTAAAATATGTCTTGGTCATGTTATTCCCCTGCCTATCATTCTGGAATGGCTCATCACCATTTTAAAATAAAAACTAACACCTGGATTATTTTGAGGTCTTTTCACTCTTGGCTCCTGTCTATCTCTCCAGTGTCATCTCCCCAAAGCCCACACCATGTTTGTCCCAATTCTGCTTCCTCTAGTCACACTGCTGTTCTGGACACACCATTTTATCTGTCCTTCTTCCTCCACTCACTCCTACTCCACCTTCAAAGCCAATACATGCCTCACATCCACCAAGGCCTCATGCCCTCCAACTTAGGGGCTCCTTATAGCTCTGGACTCTGAGTAGCTGGGGAGATCTCCTTCAGGCTGTTAGAAAGCTGAGAGCAGACACTTATTTTATTGCCTTTGTTTCCCAAGATCAAAAGCACAGCAGAGGTGAGAAATAAAATAAACATAAACACGTGTCTGAATAAATGTTCAATTATAGGGCTGGGGCTGTAGCTTAGTGGTAGAGCACTTGCCTCGCACATGTGAGGCACTGAGTGTGATCCTTAGCACCACATAAAAACAAATAAAGATATTGTGTCCATCTACAACTAAAAAAATAATTTAAAAAATGTTCAGTTCTAGTTAAGCTCTGAAGAGCCATTCACTAAAGCATTAATTAACTATTTTCTTTGAAATCTACAGCTTGCAGGAGCAGATGAATTACGAGTGGATTAGAAACAGGGCACAAGTCAGATGTGACTACCTGACACTTACACCTTCTCTAGAGTAAGAGTACCTTGACAGTCCTTGGGAGAATCCATTTTCCCACATGCCCAGTGTGGTTTCCTTGGGACTAACCCTTTCCCACTCAAGGGAGGATGGAGGGCTCCTTACCAATGTGTGGTTAACTAATTAGATTTACAGAAATTTAGAGCCCAAATGAATGAAGCCCAGAACTTCAGCCAGAATTACAGAAACTAGGAGTTTTCCCACAGGATGGGATGGTAAGTGGCACAGTGGTTTTAAACTATTTTCACAAACTCTTTGTTAAGTCTCCCTTCAGAAGGTGGAGTCCCTTGTACTTAAGAATAGAGTGCACAGGCTCCAAAAGCCAGGTCATAAAAAGTGTGGTTTCCACCTCCTCCCTACCACCCCCCCCCCCCCCCCCCGGGGCCCCCCCCTTCTCTCTCAGCTGTCCTAAGGAAAGGCCCTGAGGCAAGTCAGGGACTCCAGCCACCAGCCCTGTGGGAGAGCCATCCTGCAGTCAGACTCTCCTGGGACTGTCAGCTGGGCAGGGACACTCGGAACGCCTAACCCACAGAAACTTTGATACACAGCAGCAGATAACAGCACAGGAGCCTGAGAAAAGGCCAACAGAGAAGAAACAGTAGAGGGGGTAAGCAGGCGACACCCCCCCACACCCACAATACCAAACCCTGGTCTCTCCCACGCTCCTGGGCTTCCCCTCCGCAGTGGCAGCTGGTTCATGACCCCGCCGCCCCGAGTCTGCCAAGGGAGCAGCAAAGACTGCAAGCCGACGAGGCGCCAGCAGACCCCCGCCCCAGCGGGCACGCCGGGTGTCCACGCCTCTGCCCTGCACTTTCTCTTCTGCACCTCCGGGGTCCGCTCCTTCACCTATCATCGCAGCGCCCGGTAGAGCGGATGCAGTGCAGGGCCGATCCGGACTCCGCCGGCCCCGCGGCCCGAGCGTCAGGCGGTCAGCGGACGCGCAGGCCCGAGCGCGATGACCTCTCTGCTCCGGGTGCTCGGGCCAGCCTGAGGAGGCCGGTCACCAGGCGGCGCGCCCCGCCCGCGGTCCCGCGGCCCCGCAGCCCGGTGCTCGACCGGGCCGCTCCCACCAGAGCGAAGCCGCGTGCGCGAGACATCGGGTTACCTCAGATCGGGGCGCGGCACCCTCGGGGCTCCTCGCACACTACTATGAAAGCTGGCTCATGCGCCCGATCCCGAGGCAGCGATCCGCCACCGGGAAATGCCGCACCGCGGAGACCAAGGCGCCAGGACTGGGTCCTAGAGTAGTGGCTCCCCCGGCCGCAGGCCCCGCCCTAGAAACGCCCATTCCCGCCGTACGCCCCGCCCCGTCACACGCTGACCCCGCCTATCACGCCTGTAGGCTCTGCCCCGCAGCAAGTTACCCCCACTGCGGGCCCGTTCAGACCCCGCCCACCCCGCTGTCGGCCCCGCCCCACCCCACGCAGGCCCCGCCCCGCGCCAGCCTCTCAGATCGCGGCTGCGGGTCTCCTTCTCTTCGCAGGCCCCGCCTCAACCGCAAGCCAAGCTCCAGCCCCGCCGCAAAACGCGCCAGCCTCTGAGGCCCCACCCACTATGCGTCACTTCCGTCCTGCGAAAGGGTCTCTGGAACTGCCCCGCCAGGCGACCTGCGTGGGTTGCTGAGCAACACGGCGCGGCTCCCTTGATCCTCTGCAGCCAACCCCCGGGGGAACCGGCGCTCTGGTGGAGCGTTGCTTCTCTTTGGACCCAAGTGTGGTTGCGCGCGGGTGGCCATACTGGTCTAAACCATGGGGCTCGGTCTCAGCTTGTACCGACTGACCCCACCCGGCGCCGGTGGCTCTGGCCGTCCACCGCCACACCAGCTTCGGCAGGCAGGAAGGCATGTGCCAGGTCTCGGTGGGCTCGTCTCGGTTCTGCGGTCGCCGATGCCTCGGGCAGCGTTCCTCTTCTGATCACGCCCGCTGGTACCTTCCATCCCTGCCCTGTTGAGTGCATTTCTTTATTCTGTAGTGCTAGATTCTGTCCAAGAAGCGTCGTGCGAATACTGTTGGTGGCGTCTCTTCACTGGTATCTTTTTTTTTTTTTAAAGAGCGAGAGAGAATTTTTTAATATTTATTTTTTAGTTTTTGGCGTACACAACATGTTTGTTCCTATGTGGTGCTGAGGATCGAACCCGGGCTGCAAGAATGCCAGGCGAGCGCGCTACCACTTGAGCCACATCCCCAGCCCCTCTTCACTGGTATTTTGATGAATGAGGATTTATTTTAATATAGACAAAGATGTCAAACTTTTATGGTTGGCACTTTCTGGTCTTGTTTAAGAAATCCTTCTCTAAAAAGGGCATGGTGGTGTGCCGCATTCTGGCTGGGCACAATTCAGGAGCCACTTGTCAAAAGAAACGAACTTTATTTTTAGAACCACAGGCCAAACAAAACAGCTCCTCAGGAAAAACCCTCAGAGCCCAACTGCCACCACCAGCTTCCCACAAGCCTCTCTCTCAACCACAAGCCTCTCCACCTCCCACAATCCTCCTGCTCTTGAGGCCTATTGGCTGGGTCCTATGGGCGGAGCCAAAAAAGTCCCCCAATGAGCAGCTCCCTGGTCTGAAAGGGCAGGGAAACAGCCCAATGAGCATTACCGCAGAGGAGCAAATCAGGTAGATGTTGCTGGGGCGCTGTGAGCCAATCATCAGCTGGCAGTCTGAAAATTTGCTGGGGCCCCTTAGGCTGTGGCTCTCAACATCTCCCCCTCTCTATTTAAACAACAAGCATGTGGCTTAGGGACTGTGTCTGCCTTAGGTTGTCCAATAGTACATATGGTCCTTACCCGTTATTGGATGAGCTGACCTCAAGGCGTCAGCCTCCTGTCTTAGGTTGGTACCATTGTAATTGGATCTTACCCGTCACTGACTACCTGTCCAGTATACAGCCACACCTGTGGAGAGGTCTTTGTAGGGGGGGGGGGTGAGGTTCTTTGCCTCACCTCTGTTGGCCCCCAGATTTTAGCTGAACGATCATGACAAGCAGAAGGGAGAAAGATACACTAAGTCAATTGACGGCTCCTTTTGGAAAAATTGTACCACCGATGACATCATCAGCAAAAATACCCCAACACTACCACAAGTTGCTGCACCAACAGATAGTTCACAATGCATACAGGTGAGTTCACAATGCATACAAGTGATACATAGTCCAGGCAAGTTCTGCAAGCAGTTCAGTGATGGCTATTGCAGAAGCTGTAGATTGGTTTTATCTTTGTCTTCACCAGCACTGGGATGAAGATAGGAATTCTGGCAATAATGGCTAAAGAAAAAATTATGTAACATTCCAGAAGGCACTAAAAGAAAACAATTTTCTTAACAATTTACATTATCTTGAAGAGAATTATTAAATATAATGAAAAGGAAAGGTGAAAGTAAACAAACAGATCTGTTAACCTCCTTTTTTGTTCACATATTAAAACAATACTCAACAGTTGTTTACCCAATTTAAATTAAACCATTTAAATCACATGAATAAAAAAAATATTTGGATCCATTTTTTCATGAGAGCTCATCATATATGATATATGGACATATGTACATTCAAACATATAACACAAAACACAAGTGTGCACACATAATATAATACATACAACACGTAACATAATAGTAAAGGCCTTATAACTTTTTACAGGTGAAATCTCCATTGCAATGTTTAAAACCTCTATAGTCAAAAAATAGAACTGATCAGCAAAACATTAACCTAGGTCTGTATGAGCTCAAAAAACAAAATAGAACTTCATGATGTGGGAAAGGGCAATAATAAAATAGATATTGAAAAAAGCATCCTGGTTCTGTCGCAGATGTAAGGATAGCCAAACTGGAGTTTTGGATATCAGCTGTTATGGATTTGAGCCAAATCATCTTCTTTTTGGTCTGTAGAAATCGCTTTAGTCAATCTCTCTGGAATCCAAATCGGCTGCTGTTCTCCCTGTGGAAACACATAAACAGACCTCCGACTCCAGGCAATCACTGGGTCAGGACCTTAGTTAATCTCTCTGGAATCCAAATCGACTGCTGTTCTCCCTGTGGAAACACACAAACAGACCCCCGACTCCAGACAATTACTGGGTCAGGACCTTTCCATTGTCCTGTTAGAATATCCTTCCAAAGTACCTTGGGCTTATGCACATTTTTTGGACACATATGCCTTTCCGCAGCACTAAGTCCTGATGAATCCAAATTTAAAAAGTTTAGAGTAAAAAGGGTTATTTTAAGTTTATCTTTGGGGAATATATACCCCTTCCCAATTCCTTCTTTTTGCTTTAATAAGTACATTTTAATAGTTTGATGAGCTCTTTCAACTATGCCTTGTCCCTGTGGATTGTATGGGATTCCTGTTATATGAGTAATGCCAAATGTTGAGCAAAATTGTTTGAAAGAGGTAGAAGAATAACCAGGGGCATTATCTGTTTTTAACTGTTTTGGAACACCCACAGTGGCAAAATTTTGTAAGCAATGAGCTATAACATCTTTAGTTTTTTCTCCGGCATGAAGGGAGCCCATCAAAAATCCAGAAGAAGTATCAACTGTAACATGCAAATATTTTAATTTTCCAAATTCTGGCAAGTGTGTGATGTCCATCTACCAAATATGGTTAGGTATCAATCCTCTAGGATTGATTCCAAGATTAACTTGTGGTAAAAAGGTCACACAATTTTGACAGTGTTTTATTATGATGTTGAGAGCCACAGCCGAAGGGGCCCCAGCAAACTTTCAGACTGCCAGCTGATGATTTGCTCACAGCGCCCCAGCAACATCTAGCTGATTGGCTCCTCTGCAGTGATGCTCATTGGGCTGTTTCCCCGCCCTTTCAGACTGCCAGCTGATGATTGGCTCACAGCGGCCCCAGCAACATCTAGCTGATTGGCTCCTCTGCGGTGATGCTCATTGGGCCTTTTCCCTGCCCTTTCAGACCACGGAGCTGCTCATTGGGGGACTTTTTTGGCTCCGCCCACACGACCCAGCCAATCGGCCTCAAGAGCAGGAGGATTGTGGGAGGTGGAGAGGCTTGTGGTTGAGAGAGAGGCTTGTGGGAAGCTGGTGGTGGCAGTTGGGCTCTGAGGGTTTTTCCTGAGGAGCGGTTTTGTTTGGCGTGTGTGGTTCTAAAAATAAAGTTCGTTTCTTTTGACAAGTGGCTCCTGAATTATGCCCAGCCAGACTGCGGCATTTGGTGGCTCTCACGGGGAGCAACTGAGGGTAAGTAATAAGGTAAACTGCTCGCCCCTGAGGGCAGGGCGAGAGGATGGGTAGCCATTTTAAGATTCCTCTTTTGTTTTGCTTTACTTTTATTTTAAGTTGCCTGTCCCTGGAGATGAGTGAGACGGAAGAAAAACCACTCACATCTGAGGAAAAACTATTTACATCTGAGGAACAGATAGGGAGAAAGGAC